TATATATTATTATTATCTAATAAAAATTAATAATTTTAATAATGAAAAATATAAAAAGAAAAAAAATACACTTAATTATTGTTAAACTTGTCTTTATCATTCATTTAATTTTAAATAACAACCATTAACTATTATATAACCAAAGAATTATATTAATCGAACCCATTATCTACTATTTACTATTTACTATTTATTATTTACTACTTACTACTTACTTTTCGCCACTTGCCACCCATTATCCACTATCTGTTACTTACTACTTACTATTTACTACTTACTTTTCACCACTTGCCACCCATTATCCACTATTTGTTACTAACTACTTACTATTCGTTATCTGTTACCCGTTATCCGTTACTCGTTACTCGCTATCGTTAAATTTTAATTGTTATACTAAACAAACCCTAAAAGTAAAATTAGTATATTATATTTTAAAAACTATATTAGATCAAATATCAACTATACCAATCAAATACCAATTGTAATGGTTGTACATGCTAAAATTTGGTGTACAAGTTGATACAAATAAAAAAAAATTAAGAAAATGGGAAAAAAAAAGCTTAAATGCAAAATGCAACTTAAAATATAATTTTAGTTATACCTAAAGAAGACAAGAAAATGAAAAGAGAACTTGAAAAATGTGGATTATCTTTTAAGCCTACTAATATAGATCATGAAAGAAAGGGTAACCATAACAATTTTTAAAAATTGCAAGAACCTCTTAAATAACAAATACAAAGTTTTCTTGAAATATTAAGTGAGAAAGTGAAAGTTTTAAAGAGAGAGGAGAGTAACAATATGTTTTAGATTGTTAATGGTTAGAAGAAGAAAATATTGTAAAGTTAAAGCATTGGAGGAATTTTGTCTTCTATAAGATAAATGGGAGGTGGGGCTACACATAGTGGATTTCAGTTCACTTATTATGAAAAATTAATTGTAGTTTATTTTCTTTTTAATACTATATAAATATTATAATGTATGTTTATATTTATAAGTATAGTTATAAAAATTTATATTTAATTTATAAAAATATATATTTATACTAGTAAATCTAAGTACACAATATTATTCAACATATAACACATATCGTACTAGTAGCAAAACAGTATGCATACTAGTACGGTCGTGATAACTTTGGGTTTGAGTTCAAGTCATATGATGTACAAATAGAATGAGTTAAAAAATATGAGAAAATCACCACTAATTATACAATGTAAGATAATAAATAAATAAATAAATGGTTGTCTTTTTTATTTTTTTTTTAAAATTAAGAATTTATATATAATTTATATATTTATTTATAGAATTTTTTTTTAAAAAAAGATAAAATGTAAAAATAATCTTTTTATAATAAGATAATTAAATAAAATAGAATAAAATAATAAAAAATATTTTTCTACTTTAAAAAATAAAACTTAGTAGACTTAATTTTTATTTTGGAGCATTCAAATTTAATTATTTATTTTTCCTTTTAAGAATGTCATTTAATGTATTTATTCTTATTTTACTCTTATTTTAAAAAGATAATTACAATAATATTAAATTAGAAGTATTATTTAAATAGTTATACTTAATTAACAATAAACATATAATTTTATCAATAAATTATTATATCTCTACTTTATTAAATAAGTTTTAAACCTATGAAAATTGAATGGATAGAGTAATTATTTTAGAACAAAAGAGTGGGTAATTTCTGCTTAGTTAAAACTCTAATTTTGGTTCCTTTACTTTAGTAAAAAGTTTCTTTTTAATCATTTTACTTAAAAAAATTATTTTTAGTGTCTAAAATTTACTATCTGATCTCTTTTTAATCCCTCCATTATTCTTTTGCATATTTGATATGTTAAATGACAGAAATTCTAAAGTAGATGGACTAAAAAAGAGTTTTTTAAAAGTAAAAGGACCAAAAATATTTTTTTATTCACTTTTTAATTCTTCTACTTTAAAATTTTTGTCTTCTAATCTGCTATATATGTAAAAAAAAATAAATGATTGACTAAAAAGAAACCAAATAATAAACTTTAAAGACTAAAAAATAATCTTCTTAAGTAAAGAATTAATTTTTTTTAGTAAAGTAAATTGAGCAAAATGAAGTTTTAACCTTTTTGCTTTTCTAACTCACCAGCTTAGCTATGAGGGAATCTCCAACCAGGTTCGTCTAAGGTGACTTGTAAAGATCTAAAGGAAGACTTGAAAAAAGAGTAAGAAAGAAACTATAAATCAAGAGCGTTTCTAAAGAAATATCTTTTGGATGCGATAGGGTATTTATTAACCCTCTTCCTTTTGGTAGCACTTTCCATGTGTCGATATGCTCTTGGTTATCTTTAAATCCAATGCCTTGACATCCACACAGATGTCCTCATGGGTATGAGGTGCCCCGCATGTGTATATGCCTGACAACGGTGGACTGTGCTGCTAGGCTTGATTTTGTCTGGCCTCACTCAAAGGTGTTCGAACTAGTATCAACAAGGATCATTACAGTTGATTGTATGATAAGAGGTATTTTAATCAATAAAAATTTAATAAATTTGTACTTGGCATCATGTTTAAATTTTAAACTGGTGGAAAGTTAATTATTTGAGAAAGATAAAAGGAGCGAATTGTATTTGCTCCCAATGTGATTGAGGGTGGACGTACTCCACTTAAACTTACAAATATATTCCACGTGCCAATTCATATAATTTGTAAAATGTACACTTTACTCTCAAATCGCCAAAATATAATTTGGCCACACCTATGATTGGAAACTAATGCGATAAGTTGTAAAGCGTCCAAATTAGGGGTGAGCATTTTCAAATATAGGCCAAGCATGAATTATAATTCATATTTGGCTTGAAAATTTTTTAATATAATTTTTTAGACTTAGTACTTATCTAAATATATAAAAATCTATATTTAGTATTTAACCCAACAAGTGTCAGGTATTTTATAGGTCTATACTTATATATATTTGATTTAGAGAAAGGAAAGATTTAAATAAGATACTATTATTATTATGTATAGTATGTGTTTAGTTTAAAATTTATTATTTATTGAGTTATTATTGTTGCATGTATGAATTATTTAGTTTATAATCTTATTAAACTTTTATTTTATTTTTTTAATTTTTAAAAATTATTTTTATTATATAAATACTAAATATAATAAGTGCACATAAAATTTTAAATATATAAATTAGTAACAAATAAGTTAAATAAATTGGTTAAATAAGTAAAATAAATAATTCTACACCTTTATATTTATTACTTAACGTAACTCAGAATTGATCGTAATATCCTAGTTGGTGCTCGCAGGCCAGATACGTTTCCGATGTCAAGGCAGGCACAGATCACACCAGCTTCATCACGGATCTCTCAGCCTCAAAGAAGAAAACGAGGTTCTACTTGATTTATACTTCAGGTTCTCAATCGGAGTGCCGCATTTGGTAATTCGAACTGAATGTGTTGGAATCTGGCAGGTGCGTTTGATTCGGCTGTCTTCCGACAGAACGGAGCTCATATGTGAGGGCTTGTTTTCGCATCCTAATGAGATCTGGGATCTCGTATCTCGTTTCGTGCCCCTCTGATCAACGCATGTTCTCTACTGTTTTCCTTACTGGTAACTGTTATTTTTCTGTTTTTTGTGTTTATTTTGTCATTCAATCACCCAAGTTGATTTGGATTTGATCCCTGGACATTGTTGCATTAGATTTTCACTGCTTTTGACAATTCTACAGCTTCGTTACATCTTTAACGGTTAGAAACAGCAAAATTGATGCAGAACTTCACTCGTATGTTATTGGATCTTTTTATAGAATTTCTGTCGAAGCTATGCTGTTGCTTTGTATTGCAATATGTGGAATCCAGTTTTTGTACCTCAATTCCATGATTTCCGTCCTATAATTCCATCTTGTAGGAAAAATATTTAATTGTTTAATCATCAGGGTGACGTTTATCAAATCATGTTCAGTTTTTACACGTAGGCATATCATTTTTGCTTTCTGTTAGACTTGTGTGAAATTCAGTGGGTTAAGGGATTTTTGTATTTGCTTTGGGCAACCTAAAAAAAAATGATGGGGGACTTTTCAATACCTTTTCCATTGTTGAAGGTGAATCATATGGGGCAGCAATAGGGTGAATACCCGAGTTATATGGTCAGTTAAATTCATCCTAGTTATAGGTTATATAGAATCCAATTTTATTAGTATGTACAAATTAGGTGGAAAACAACCATTCTCCTTAAATTAAAATAAGACAAAGGTGTGCCATTTTGATATCTATATAAAAAAAGGACCAACAGCAACAAATTCAAATGAACAAAACACAAATGACTAAAAAATTACAAATGATTGATTGATTTTAATAAGGACATTGGATACAAACATATACTTGAAAAGAAGATGACACAAGAACATAAAAATTTTCATGTAACTAAGTACTTGCTATGATTTAAGCTAGTGTCTAACATTTTCATCTTTGTAGTTGTTGATGATATGTTGTTCTAGACAGTTCAATCAAAGATAACACATTTGGAACAATGCTAAGTAATGCCATCACTATCCACCATTGAGCTTTAAATTCAATTGCGTTGAATAGTCGTGATAGATCTTTGGGAAATGACGTATGAAATTGAATCCACCAATGCACATAATAGGTTACCATAACCAACCATGCTCTACAGTACACTCAGGGTTCGAAACCAGCCAACACCACAATACCATATTTGGCAATAGATTGAATAGCCCAAATCTTATCTTTAATTCCCGTGGTATTTGTAGAGGGCGGAAGCATATCTTTGGGAAAAGAGCATCATAACCAAAAACAAAAAATGATATAACTGATTATTGCAAATAACCAATCTTTATAATTGGCCATGGGAGATGTGAGAAGAGCAAATTTGAACATGGCATGTGCAATATTTATGACTATCAAAATCAAACCATTGATTTCTTTGGTATTTGTAGAGGGCATTGAGCTATCTTTGGAATTATGATAGGACTTATAGAGACTTCGAAGCAAAATACCAATTGCCTTAACTAACCACTTTTTATAGTCGGATAGGGGTGTAATTGCACCAAACCAGAAGTCCTTCTTCAGTCCGCGTTTGCACTTCGGATTGACCTACAAAGCCCCGAGGTGGAACTCGGGGTAGACACTCCAATGCTTAAGTCAGCAATAATCGGGGCTACCTTTAAAGTGGAGATAAAAGGAGTTTAGGGTTGGTTTCAATTCCCTTTTTGGCATGGCCTATGGGGGGTATTTATAGGCTCTAATGAGGAACCCACGTGGCATGCCAAGTAAGATAATCGGAGTCTGATGTGTCTATCCAAACAGTTATTTCAGGACCGGGAAATTGAGAGATATTCAGATGCGAGAATGCCCATCGTAACTACTGTGCAACTTGTCATAAGGAATCAGGTGTGGGCATGCTTATTGTCGTTGTCATGCAGCTGTTTGAGCGGGGAGTGTTGAATTTATCCTTCACTCCAGTTATAAAGGAATTACTATCGTACATCCAAGGTTGGGCACCTCGGACCTATCCTTACACTATTCCTCCCTCGAAGTCATTCACTTGTGAATGATGTGGTAAGGGAAGTATATGATAGCAGGTGATAAATATGATACAAGATCAGCTGATGTGAGAAGCATTTTATGTAGCTATATAATACTATTAAAGTATGTGACACTGGGTCACTATGGCCAAAACTGAGGTGAAACATATGGCATTAGATCACTATGGCCGGAGCTGAAGTGAAACGTGTGACGCTGGGCCACTATGGGCCGGAGCCGAAGTAAAACATGTGACACTGGGTAACTGTGGGCCGGAGCCAAAGCAAAACATGTGACGCTGGTTCACTGTGGCTGGAGCCGAAGTGAAACATGTGAACTGGGTCACTGTGGCCGGAGCCGAAGTGAAACATGTAAACTGCACTATGGCCGGAGCCGAAGTGAAACATGTGACACTGGGTCACTGTGGCCGGAGCCAAAGTAAAATACAGTGACCGTAGTCATGTGGGCCGTAGCTGAAGCAAAATTGATTACTCAATCACTATGGCCAGAGCCGAAGTAATATAGGTGACGTGTGGTCATTATGGTCGTAGCCGAAGTAAAATAGGTGATGCATAGTCACTATGGCAGGAGCCAAAGTAAAATAGGTGACTTGGGGTCACTATGACTGGAGCCGAAGTGAAATATGTAACTCGGGACCACTATGGTCGGAGCTGAAGTAAACTATGTGACTCGGGGTCACTATGGCCAAAGTCGAAGTAGAACTGGTGACTCGTGGTCACTATGGCCATAGCTGACGTAGAACTGGTGACTCGGTATCACTATGGCTGGAGCCGAGATAAATAATGATAACTGGAGTCATAGCGGCTAGAGCCGAAGTAATAAGTAATGACCAGAGTCATGTGGCCGGAGCCAAGGTAATAAGTAATGACCGGAGTCATGTTGCCGGAGCCAAGGTAATATGCAATGACCGGAGTCATGTGGGCTGTAGCCGAGATAATATGCAATGACCGGAGTCATGTGGGCCGTAGTCGAGATAAAATGCAATGACCGGAGTCATGTGGGCCGTAGCCGAGATAAAATGCAATGACAAAAGTCATGTGGGCCGGAGCCAAGGTAATATGCAATGACCGGAGTCATGTGGGCCGTAGCCGAGATAAAATGCAATGACTGGAGTCATGTGGGCCGGAGCCAAGGTAATATGCAATGACCGAAGTCATGTGGGTCGTAGCCGAGATAAAATGCAATGACCAGAGCCATGTGGGCCGTAGCCGAGATAAAATGCAATGACCTGGGGATTACAACTCCAAAGTGACGACTTGTGACCTCAGGAGCCCTCAGGAGCCATAATAATAGAAGTCAGATTGCTGAGAGTCATGCTCTATAAAGCTAGGATAAGAACCAGTTTTTGTAGAGCTGATTGAATGCCAATATTGGTAGCTAGAGATGCCTGCCACAAAATCCCACCTTGAGATGCCCACAAGAAAATCTTGGTCTCTCAAGTCATAGCATAAAAATCAAACCCCTTTGAGGGTTGTGCTTTGCAGAGTTAAGATTGAACTGAGCTTTCATAGAACAAATGAGCTGAGAAGTTGATAGTTGATGGACGCAAGCTCTTGTAGATCGAATGGGCTAAAAAAGCATATAGCTAATGGGCTCAAGGGCCAATAGTATTTTCTGATGAACTGATAAGTTTAAAAGCTGATAACATATTTCTGAGTCTTCCAAGCCAAGGAGTTAACAAACTCATGAGACCTATAAGAATTCATTTTGACTTGCAGAGCAGAATTAATTTATACTTGAGAAAGAATTGTGCTTGATGAGATAGAAACTCGAGAAAGAATTTAGCTTCTTACGAATGATGTTAACTCCTTCTTGCTGTGACTCAAGAGTAAATGTGGAGAGAAAAAATCTACCCTCGCATAAATGATGCTAGAGAAGAAATTTACTTGATCATCTTTGTAAGCTATTGAGCTTTATGGTTGGGGTCCGTAGCCTTTTAAAATTGGATGGAGGAGTTGTTCATAGCTCGTATATAATTTTGATGGAGGAGCTCAGCATAAAGGGATTTCTCTAGAACTCACCCCACATGGAGTCCTTGCACTTTTCCATCTCTAAAATAGCAATGGATATTTATAATCATAAATGCAAATGAGCAAAGTAGCATGATTATGATATATAAAAAATGAGATGGCAAAATGATATCATGAGTGCAAAAACAAGTGCAGAATGAATGGAAAAATGTGAAATAAATGCAAAGAATGCGGAAAGCAATTAATAATAAATTTTAATATAAGATTGGACCAAACTTGGACCAAAACTCTAATTTGCTGCGGAGATTAATTGCTTTCTTGACAACCTGCATCACAAAGACTTGAAAAAATGAGAAAACAATACATGGTTGATGAACTAAATTTATATACATATTAATATAAAATTTATGCCTTGATATTATTGACATTTGGATGAATTTTATGAAAATTTACTTAATTTTGCATAATTTTCATTCTATTTTGGAGAGGACTTAATTGGAAAAAGTCACAATCCTTAGGAGTAAATTGCAAAGATATGAAATTTGAGGATTAAATTGTGCAGAATCCAAAAGTAAGGGGTCTAGACTGTAATTTTACTGTTAACAGAATTTGCAGAGAAGGACAAAAACCCAGCACGGACCGTTTAGGACGGATGCAGGAGTGTTGGCACCTTTTTGAGGGTGTTTTTGAGGGTGTTGACACCTTTCAGCTCATGCTGCACATCTTTCAGCTCATGCTCGACCTCTGCACCTCATGTTCAAGTTCTGCACTTCGTGCTTGGCCTCTGCAGCTCGTGGCTGACCTCAGTAGTAAGTGTTGGAGCTCTACAGCTCGTGCTCAAGTTCTACACTTCAGGCTCGAACTTGGCAGCAAGTGTTTGAGCTCTGTAGCTCATGGTTGACCTCAGCAGCTCATGTTGGAACTCTGCACTCTGTGCTCGACCCTTGCACTTTGTGCTCGACCTTTGCAACTCATGGTTGACCTCAGCTGTAAGTGTTTGAACTCTGCAGCTCGTGCTCAAGTTCTACACTTGGTGCTCGACCTCGGCAGCAAATGTCTGAGCTCTACGGCTCGTGGTTGATCTCGGTAGCTCATGTTTAAACTCTGCACTTCGTTCTCGACATCTGAAGCTCGTGTTTGAGCTCGGAAGCTCGTGTTTGAGCTCGGAAGCTCGTGTTGGAGCTATGCACTTCATGCTTGACCTCTGCAGCCCGTGTTTGAGCTCGGAAGCTCGTGTTGGAGCTATGCACTTCATGCTTGACCTCTGCAGCCCGTGTTTGAGCTCGGAAGCTCGTGTTGGAGCTCTGCACTTCATGCTTGACCTTTGCAGCTTGTGGCTAACCTCGGCAACTCGTGTTTGATTTCTGCACTTTGTGCTTGACCTCGGCAGCAAGTGTTTGAGCTCTGCAGCTAGTGGGTTTTGCTCGGTGCATGTCACCGAGCTGGGAGACTTCTTTGCTGCTGGTGAGATGGGCTACCTTCTACCACTGCTTTAAGCTTTGCCGCTGCCGAGCTGAATTGCTTTGTTGCTACCGAGCTGGGCTGCCTTGTTTCTGCCAAGCTAGAGCACCATTGAGCTTTGTTGCTGCCGAGGTGGGAGGCTGCCGAGTTGGTAGATTGCTTTGTCGCTACCATGAAGTTCGAGCTCATCTTGTCTCGTCTCTTTTGAACTATAATATTGTCCAGAAAGAGATCAAGGCAGAAAATACAAAATAAAATAAGATAATGGAAAGAAGATTATAGATACATAAGGGAGCAAGGGAAATTTCAATTACTTATCTTGAGCTAGCATCAGCTGATTGTCCACCAACATTTGAACGAGCTCCTTTTCCACCATAGGTTGTGCTTGCCACCCAGTAAACCCCCTTAACATGCCCGTTACCCACAACTCATAACAAATAGCTTGTGCTCGAGTAGAAGTGAGCAGCTCGGGCTCGAGCAGGACGTTCCCAGCTCGTGCAGGATGTTCACAGCTTGTGCTTGAGCAAGATGCTCGCAGCTCGTGCTCTAGCATTTAGCAACTCGGACTTTAGCACTCCACAGCTCGTGCACCAGCAGGAAGTTCGCAGCACATGCTTCAGCAAGGACTTCGTAGCTCATGCTCCAACAAGATTTTGTAGCTTGTGCTCGAGCAGGGTGTTTGCAGCTCATGCTCCAGCAAGATGCTTACAGCTCATCATTGTCGAGCTTGAGTAATGGAGCCTAGCCATAGTCAGCCCGGCCATAGCTGTTTAGCCTTCTTCTAGCATTGGAACCATAGGCTTTTGTTCCCCTAGCAACTAATTGGAGGGATTTTCATACTTGTGAGCAACCTAGTCGGGGACTTGTCTCTTGGATTCTGCAAGAACAAATTCAAAGGAGAGGAAGATTCCAACTTGCTTTATAGCAAAAGAAAATAAAATATCGAAAACAAGGTAAAATAATGAAAGGTTAAGATTTATCTCCTCAATCATCGCAAAGTGGTGGTCAAGCTCAAATGGTTTATTGCCCAGGGAGGATGCTTGTTGCAAGCTCAGGCTGACCATCATCATATTTTGTTGATTGCTCGCGTCTTAACGAGCTTCTTTTCAAATTTGTTTGGTATGTGGTGACGAGTTGGGAGATCACTTTGTTGCTGCCGAGTTGGGGCTACTTTGTTCTTACCAAGCTGCCGAGCTGCCAAGCTGGGAGAATGCTTGTCGCTGCCGTCAAGCTCGAGCTCATCTTACCTATTTATCTTCTTGTGAAAGCTTCTCTTCTTTACAAGCGAATAAACCCATTCTGTAAATTCATCAGATCTACTTTTGCGACTCAAAAGAATCAGCCATGAGCCTTTCACTCATCTTTTCTTCCCTCCGATCAACTGGATCAACATAGAAATAAAGCTTTTTATTCGATTTCCCACAGATGGTGCCAATGTAATTGCACCAAACCAGAAGTCCTTCTTCAGTCCGCGTCTGCACTCCGGATTGACTTGTAAAGCCCCAAGGTGGAACTCGGGGTAGACACTCCGATGCTTAAGTCAGCAATAATCGGGGCTACCTTTAGAGTGGAGATAAAAGGAGCTTAGGGTTGGTTTCAATTCCCTTTTTGGCGTGGCCTCTGAGGGGTATTTATAGGCTCCAGTGAGGAACCCACGTGGCATGCCAAGCAAGATAATCGGAGTCTGATGCGTCTATCCAGATGGTTATTTCGGGACTGGGAAATTGAGAGATATTCAGATGCGAGAATGCCCATCGTAACTGCTGTGCAGCTTGTCATAAGGAATCAGGTGCGGGCATGCTTATTGTCGCTGTTATGCAGCTGTTTGAGCGGGGAGTGTTGGATTTATCCTTCACTCTGGTTATAAAGGAATTACTGTCGTACGTCTGAGGTTGGGCACCTCGGACCTATTCTTACAAGGGGAGATATGACATTAGAAGACACAAAGACACTATGTGCAAAATATAAAGCAATTGATGAAAAAATAAAAAACACACTAGCACTTTTAGTTGTGGTATTTGTACTAGGATCTTCTTTTAAATCCAACCAATACTTATCTAACCAGCTTTTGAAACTGAACAACACAAAATAGATGGAAGCAATTATCCATGTGGGAAACTTCAACTCATAACAGTTGTAAGTAACAGATCCAATGGCACCAATGATAAAACTAAACAATCCAAGGTCTATTTGCAGTTGTAATACCACTAGTACACATAGAAGAAAAACTGAGATGCACAACATAGCATTGAGGCTCCTCAAGGAATTATCATAAAATTTTGCACAAAGAAGTGCTATAATAAAGGTGAAGTTTGATGTTGAATTTACCATGCAGTTACACCTTCCACGAAGAATTTTAAATTGATTCCAATGTTTTGAATGTGTTAACGGAACAAGGCCAATAAGCATCAATAACTATGTTTTGACTCCTCTTCTATCATATTTTGAACTTAACTTTGTATTCAGTAAAAGAAATATGGCAAAGAACATGGCAAGTTTACCAACTAGTTTGGCCTTTTGCTGACCCTTTGCTGCTTCATTGTGGAGATGCATCTCAAGGGCTTCCGATAGATTCTTCATCTTCTCAATAATAGGATCTAGTAGAGATCTCATTGTCGATGTGAAATACACCTTGAGAGCTTTCCATTGATTGCTCTCCTCATCTTCAATCCAATCTTGCAAAAGTATTACCTGATAAATAAGACTGGTTATTTTCAATAATGGATGAAACTTGATAACCATCCTCACAATCCGTAGCACTGCAATTGAATCTCTCATATCTTCCATTTGGGAGAAAGGTGAGAAAGAACTAGTAGCATGGGTGGTTGTTATGATGAATTAATTCTATATGGTGTAAAATAAAAGTTTGTTTCCCTAGTACAAGCCGTTGTAGAATTAAAAAATAATTTATTGATAATATGTATTAGTCAAAGGTTTTAGTGGAGACATTGATTAGTGTTGGAATGTGAATTGGTTCTTCCTTGGTATTGAAATTTGGTGTGGATCTTCAAAGTCGTCATTTGC